CCCTCTCCCCCCTCCACCCTCGCCACCCCACCCTCCCGCCTCCCCGCCTGACCGCATGGCTGATTCAACCTCGGTGTCAATCAACTTTTTTTTCCTCCTCTTCCTCATTTAAATAACTTTAAAGCTCCTCCTCCTCCTTCTACCCTCCCCCGCCCTCCCTCCCCGCCTCCCCGCCCGCAGTTCACCAAATCTGAAACTTATAAATTGGGCTTTGCGCGCCGCAGCCCGGGAGAGTCAGAAAGGCGAGGGGCCCCGGGAGCAGGCGTGTGGGACTCCTGACCGGAGAGCCGGAGGCTGCGCCTTCCCCGCACCGGGACCTCCACGCCACGCCACAGCCTCGCCCTTGCCCCGTGCGAGCGCCCACGATGACCACCACACTCGTGTCTGCCACCATCTTCGACTTGAGCGAAGTTTTATGCAAGGTAAAGCGGGGCGGAGGTTTGCTTTTCGAAGTAGATTGTCTTTTGCTTAAAGAAAAAAAACCCCCAATATCTATAGAAACATCACCACCACACAAACACCAAACACACTACCAGTTCGGGTGTTGCAGAGTTGGAGATGGCGGGAGTTCCTGGGCGCAGGGTTTCTTTGACCCTTTGGTGTCCCCTCCTTAGTTTGAAGGAATTTGGCCCGGCCTTCTGCTGTCTTTTAAGATTTACCACAGTTCCTGCCAGGGTTATACGAGAATCTGAGAAGCAGGGTTTTCTTTGGGGGTGGGGTGGGGTGAGGGGCCCCAAAGTGTACGAGAACGGGGCTGCCCAAGAGAAGCAGAGGAATGACTGGGATTGGGACAAGATTTGAGGAGTTCGTTAATCCCTATTTTGTGCGGCTTATTGGAGCGCTCTGGGGTCTCTGTGCGGCCGGGGAGGATCCAAGTGAGTCTACCGGCCTGCGGGGTTGGGGTTGGGGATTGGTTGCGGGGGGTCCCTTTGCAAGGAAATGAGGATCAAGACTTGGGGATGTTCCCCCCTCTGCTTTGGGGGAGCGGTTGGGGATCCCTGCGAGGAAGAGACAGGCCAAGAGTTGGGAGTTCAGCAAGATCTCCCAAAGCGCGTTTGTTCGTGGGGTTTGTTAGTTGGTGTGTCCGCCCCAGCGCGGCTTAAACTCCAGCCCGAGGCAGCGCGTAGATCGGGCTGCAGATTTTGGGGTGGAAGTCGGTTAACACCCCCCTCTCCCCTGACTGTGTTGCGAGGTGCTGTGACTCCTCCGTTGAGGGACAAGGGACGAAATGCTGCCCAAACTTCAAAGAACCTGGCCAGTCAAGGATTTGAAGGCGGGATAGCTTCCCAGCTGAAACCACACCAACGGAAAACACGCAAAGTTTTAAATCCGGAGTGCGGCTGAAATGTCCAAGTTCTTTGGCGGTTGTTAGAGCTTTTTTTTTTCTCAGCCCGCCCCCGACTCCCCCTCCGTTTGAAAGGATGAAGCTTCTAGGCTGCTTTTAATTGCCGAAGTGTTTTTGCCTTCTCTTAAACACGTCGGGTCATGTCGCTCTCTTTCCCCAGCTTGCTGCGCCTGTCCGTGCAGCTGCCAAAGCCCCCAGGGCTGCAGGGTTGGGGTGCAGGGACGCCGAGGAGCTGGAGAGCAACATCAAAAAGTTTGAAGAATTCAGATTCCTTCTCTTCTTGTGCCTTTAGCCCTCGTGGGCTGCCCGGGCTCCCGGGCCCTTGTCTCCTCTCTTCTCACTGTTTTGATCTCAGTTCTTTTTCTTTCGCCTCCCCCCTCTCTCCCGCAGGACTTTTTTTTTTTTTTTTAAATGAACCTCATTGTTGAGAACAGGCCCACTACTGGGTTCCTGTAATCAGTGCCCGGTGGGGTGGTTGTGGTTACAGGCTTTACAGGTTCCTGATTCCTTGCTGCTGATCCTAAGGGACTAACTAGAATTTGCACAATGACACTCACATGGACCTGGAACTAACTCCCAGATTTTGAACCCATACCCTTTCCAAGTCATAGGTACAGTTTGGGCAGGTGACCCTGGTCCCATTGGAACAAACCCTGCCTGTGCCCAGCCCTGCTGCCCCCCCTCCCCCTTGACTGGGAGGTGGGTGGGGGTGGGGTCTGGTGCTTTTCTCTTTTCATCTGCAGCTTTGGTTCAAGATTAAACACTGGTGCCCTTATCCAGGCCTCTTGTTTGGAGCCAGGAGACCAAGTGCAAAGGCATCTATCTTCTCAGTGAAGGGGGGTGGGGGATGGTGGGAGAGATTCCTGCCCTGGGCGTCCCTTGCAGGAGTCTGGGACCATGTGTTTGTGTTTTCAAGTACCACACACTTCTGCCCTAACCCCAGGCCAGTTCTTCCTCTCTTCCCCCACCCCTAGCCAGCAAAAGCACAGGCAGTCTGAAAACTTGTTGGCAGCCAAAGGAAGGGAACACTTCTGAAGGGGAGGAAGTTGCCAGTCCAGGGCCCGATTGTGGGGAAGGGGGCTAGCAGCGGAGCAGAGTCTGATTAAGAGGAGAGTCTGCTCCTGTGTAGTCTTCTCTATGGGGTTTACCCAGGTTTTTTGTTTGTTTGTTTGTTTTGGGGTTTGGCTAAGGGGAGGGGAATCTGGAGAGGGCTGCCTGGCATGAGGTATTCTGAGTTGAATGTATTTGGGCGGGAAAGAAGTTGGGGTTTTATAAATGAAAGTGGTACCTTCAGGGACAGAAGATAGACGTGTAAGGGTGCAGCATGGTGTGGAAGGCATGCAGAAAATAATTTGTCACACCGGCCAGAATTTTGTGGTTTCTTTTTAGTGGGGCTCAAACCAACCCAGGTGACTGGTACTGGGGGGGGAGGGGAGAAGCAGAGAGAGGATACCTTTGGGAGGAGAGCCTAGGCCTCTCTTGAGTTTGGAGGGAGGGGGCTGTCCTGGGACCGCTTCTTCTGGCCTAGTGGATGTTCTCTGTCACTGACCAGCCCTTTTCCCCTCTTTTCTTCCTCCAGGGTAACAAGATGCTCAACTACAGTGCTCCTAGCACAGGGGGCTGCCTGCTGGACAGGAAGGCAGTGGGCACCCCGGCTGGTGGAGGTTTCCCCCGGAGGCACTCTGTCACCCTGCCCAGCACCAAGTTCCACCAGAACCAGCTCCTCAGCAACCTCAAGGGTGAACCAGCCCCGGCCCTGAGCTCTCGGGACAGCCGCTTCCGAGACCGCTCTTTCTCAGAAGGGGGTGAGCGGCTGCTGCCCACTCAGAAGCAGCCCGGAAGCGGCCAGGTCAACTCCAGTCGCTACAAGACGGAGCTGTGCCGCCCCTTCGAAGAAAACGGCGCCTGTAAGTATGGAGACAAGTGCCAGTTCGCGCACGGCATCCATGAGCTCCGCAGCCTGACCCGCCATCCCAAGTACAAGACCGAGCTGTGTCGCACCTTCCATACCATCGGCTTTTGCCCCTACGGGCCCCGCTGCCACTTCATCCACAACGCCGAGGAGCGCCGTGCCCTGGCCGGGGCCCGGGACCTCTCCGCTGACCGTCCTCGTCTCCAGCATAGCTTTAGCTTTGCTGGGTTTCCCAGTGCCGCTGCCACCGCCGCTGCCACGGGGCTGCTGGACAGCCCCACATCCATCACCCCACCCCCCATTCTGAGCGCCGATGACCTCCTGGGCTCACCCACTCTGCCCGATGGCACCAATAACCCCTTCGCCTTCTCCAGCCAGGAGCTGGCGAGTCTCTTTGCCCCTAGCATGGGGCTGCCCGGGGGTGGCTCTCCCACCACCTTCCTCTTCCGGCCCATGTCTGAGTCCCCTCACATGTTTGACTCTCCCCCCAGTCCTCAGGATTCTCTCTCGGACCAGGAGGGCTACCTGAGCAGCTCCAGCAGCAGCCACAGTGGCTCAGATTCCCCTACCTTGGACAACTCAAGACGCCTGCCCATTTTCAGCAGACTTTCCATCTCAGATGACTAAAAAAAAAAAACAAAACAGGGTAGGGAGGGACCCCCCCCTTGCCCCTTCTACTCCCCTTCCTGCTGTACCCACATCCTAGACCCTCCTCAACCCCTTCCCCACAGCCCTTAATATTAACAAGGTTAAGCTCAACCCCTTCCCAGAACCTTGGAATGACCCATCCTTCTCCCTTACCTTATCTATCCCCCCATCCCCCCCCCAAAAAAAATAAGGACAAGTCAAATTTGTCAGTAGTTTATTCTGGCTTGAATTCCCCTCCCCCCTCCCTCAGTTTATATAGCCCACTTAACTACGCAGAACAGACAAGTCCTATATTCATCGGTAGATGCCTTGATATTTTTTCCCCTGGCTTAAGCCTTAAGTGCCAAATCACAAAAGAAAAAGCAGTAACAGTTTACAGAAGCAACTTAGTGCCTTGTAATCTAACTTTGTCACTGTGACTACATTACCTCTTTAGCGCCAGGGGGCGCCCGTGGGCCTCCCGGAGCCTCTGCCCAGGGGGAGGGGGGGGAGACCCAGAAGCAGCAGCTCCCCCCACTGGCTACACAAATGCACCTTCCCTTCAGTCTCCCGCACACTTCTTCCTCCCTCTTCCCAGTAGTTGCCCCACCCACCCCCCAGTTCTTGCTGGAGTTAGGAAACCTGTCTGATATTCAAAACCTTTTCCAGCTTGAACCCCTGTTGACTAATCTTGCCTGGATTTGTATAGGTCTGCAGGAAGGAAGATCGGAAAAAACAAAAAAACCACAAAAAAAAGGATGAAGATTATTTTGACCTAAGTGGGACTTTGTGATTTAATTTTTTTTTTAACAAGTGGGGAGAAGGGGAAGCTAGATATGGACTATGAGAGACTTGATCTTGGTGCTAAAGTTCCCCAGTTCATATGTGACATCTTTTAATGAAAAACGTAATGGAAAAAAAAATGAGAGAAAAGCTTAAAAAAAATGTAAAGGGGTGAGCAGTTAATGGTATTCATTCCACATACAATATCTGTGTAAAACGATTTCCTGTAGAAGTAGCTTTAATGGTTTTTGCTCTGGAATACCGTAGGTCTACCCTTAGCACTCACGCCTGCTTTTTTTTTTTTTTCCCTGGGTTTTAAAACTTCATATAACTTTCAGAAATTGGAGAGCAAAAAATTTTGCTTGTCACTGCACATCAATATAAAAAAGCTTATTTAACTTATCAAAACGTATTTATTGCCAAACTATGCTTTTTTTGTTAATTTTGTTCATATTTATCGGGATGACAAATCCATAGAATATATTCTTTTATGTTAAATTATGATCTTCATATTAATCTTAAAATTTTGTGACGTGTCTTTCCTTTTTTTTCCACAGTTTTAATATATTATTCTTCAACAACATTTTTGTAACTTTACACTTTTTTGGTTATTTTATTTTAAAAAAATGAAAAATTAATTTAAAAAAATGCAAAAAACTGTTGGATTATTTATTTTAGAAATTACCCCCTTTGTGTTGGACTGCAAATTTTCTTTGTCTTTAGGCCTTTCACAAGTAGGACTGAGAATGTATGTAAAAGTTCTATGACAGCACAGAAGGAAAAAACCACCTTTGATGTATAGCTTCTAAAAGGGAAAAAAAACAAAACAAAAAGGAAAACCTTTTGACTTCCATGTACCCATCTCAAGACATTCCGCTCACAGATTTGAGGTTCTGGATTCTAGGTTTGGAGTTTTCCAATGTTAGCATAAAACAGAACTGGTGCGCGTGCACGCGCGCACACACAGACACAGACACATAAAGATGAATGTAATTATTATTCCTCTTGCTGGTCACTACCGTTGCTTTCTATTTCTCTTTCTTTGTGTGAACTTATTTAAAAGAAGAAAAAACCTTTTGTAACGACTATTTGCAGTTTAAAGAAAATCAATAAACCCCGTTTTTTTGTTTTTTTTTTTCAAGAAATACTGGTGGTGGAGCTGGTTTCACTTGGTGTGGTTTTGTCTTGTCTGGTGGTTGCCCCATGTCTTGAGCTAGGTGGGTTGGTTGGTCTCTTGTGCTGGTTTTGAGGCAGGGGTGGAGGTGTTTTGCCAATGAGCCTGTACTTCCTCCTGCACTGCTTCAGGGGATGGCTTGATGGTTTGGGCTAAATGGAGAAGTCTAGAGTTGTTTACCCTACATGTAGTCTCAGCTTCTTCCTGGGAGCTCAGAAGTCCAGTCTACCCTGCCCAGCATGAGGCCTTCATTCACTTTGGGTAATGTCTGAGGTGCCAGTGCTGAAGAGGACAGCACATAATCTGGCCTGGATTGAATGCTTCAGGCCTGTATCTCCCACAGGCATTAACCATGTCTTAAGCCTTAACCACTTGCCTGGAAAAGACCAGAGTGGAAATGAAGGGATTGGGTTTGATTCATGCTTCCCTGTTGAGAGGGCTATTAGGTAGAAGTGGGCATCAATATTGACATAACACAAGAAGTTGGCAATCGTTCTCACCACCTTAGTCCTAATTATACCTCTGATGCCATGCAAAGTAGGTTCTAAAAGTCCCCTTGGAAATCTCCCTAGCCAGTATCAGGTAACCACAAATGATCTTTCCCCTGTAAGAGAGACCAAGCAGATCTTTGTAAAAAATCTCAGTCTCCTGCCATTAGAAGCTCAGTTTCCTCTTTAACTCCTTGCATTCTTTGGGGTTGAGCTGAATTCCCACAGCCGGTCTGTAGCAGACAGTCCCCAAGACTGCATACCTAACTGTATTCCAGTGGTCAGTAGATACTGTGGGAGGTCTGGATGTGAGATAGAAAAATAGGGATGATTGTTTACTTCAGGGTGGGGGGGCTAATGGTTCAGGAAAGGAAAAAGCATCCATTCCTGCGACCAGAGTAAATCTAGGCCACTTGTCAGATAAGTGGGATATGACTCTGTGTGTGTGTGTGGTGAAATCGGGGTGAATAGAGAGCAGAGGGGTCTAAGCTTACCTGTCAGGCAGCCCTGAAGTTTCTCCATTGGAATGGGTCTCTAGAGTTAGATAACAAAGATAGAGGCATTGATTCCAGCGGGCCCTGCAGGGCAAGAAGAGGCTCGCTCCCTGTCACTTGGGAAGCTGACTGTCCCCAGGCCTTGAATTTTTAGCCCACTTTAGTGTCCACATGGGGAATTCATATGGGCTTGGATTTAGGCCACCCAGGCCCAATGCCTGCTTTCCTAACATCTAGATCTTAATAGGCAGAGGAAGCTACTTGGGAAAAGAAGACTTCTTTCAGGCCCATTAGTTCCCCAGCTTATTAAAAGATGGGAGGAGTCCTCAGCAGAAGCCTTGTGCTCTAGGCCACCAGAGACCCTAGGGAGGTGGAGCCCATTACTAGCAGGAGGCCTCCTGTGTTCCTCCACAGTTATGGAGGATAGGAACCACACAGAGGCAGCTGAAGGTAAGGGATATGTAGTGGGAAAGGCCAGATCTTCCTGGCAGCCAGTTTCGTCGGGTGGCACAAGACCTTTCCATGCTAAGGACCCTGGGGCATCTGTTCTTTGGAGGCCTCCACCTGGTCTCTCCGGGGTGACCAAGACCTCTCTGACTGCTAGCGTTGCACCCATGGCCTGGGTGTTGGAGCAGCTCAGTCATGAGCTACTTTGGCCTACTGGGCAAACCTATTTTTCCTGGCCTCTGCATTGGTCAGTGGCATTCTGGGGAGAGGAAGAACTTTTGAGTACAAGGGAGGATATGGGATGGACGAAACATAGGTTTGGCCACCACTTAGGTCTCGGTGTCTTGGTTATGGAGAGGAAGGAGGGCCATGGCAGAAGGAAGGATGGAAAGACGGTTGTTGGAACTCTCAACCAGAGCCCAAGTCCCAGTTCTTAACGTGAGCTTGCACGGGGGATGGGTGATCAACCTGAGACTTTTCAGCTGTATATCAAGGGGGTGCTATGAGGATCAGGTGGGGCTCTTCCTACACACCAGGCAGTCTTTTAAGAACTTGGTGTGCTCACAATGACCCCATCAGGAAAATTCCATATAGACACACATATGGACACACTGGAGTTCAGGGTAATTCTTTAGTTTGTCACATGGTAAGAAAATATCAGGACTTGATCCCAGGCTGCATAGTTAACATGTTGCATCTCACTGCTGTTCTAGAGAGTGTCAGAGGCTGGCTTACTGGAGACACAGGTCATGGTCCTTGGCATATGGTAATGTAAATCCACCAGGGTTAGCTCCAGAAGTTTGAGAGGCAGCAGTGGATTGGGTGAATGTGTACACACCCTCCCTGAGGATCATGAGCTCATGTCCCATGAAGCCCTGCACTGGTGAGTTCGAAGGAGGGTCCTGGGGGGTGGGGGAGCAGGCCACCCCCTTGGACTTTCCCCTTTCTGCCTGCCATGAGGTGGCTTCTGTTAATGATCAACAGACCAAAGGGTGCCCAGGGGCCCGGGAGGACTTGGCCCTGTGCCCTTCGTCCCCCGGGGTCTCCCACCTCTGCACGTAGCCAAGCATTTAATCATGTCTGGCTGGGCTCACTGGAATGCTACCTGAGTTCAGGGGGTGAGGTGGTGGGGAGGTCAGCCACCCCTGCCACCCCTCCCCCCTGCTGGCTGCTTTGCAGATGGCCTGCTAAGGCCTGCAGGATTCAGAGTGCTGGGAGCCCGCCAGCACCTCGGCCTGGTCTTGAAGTCAGGTCATCACTGGCAGCTCCACCTCTGGCTGGGTATAAAGCTTGGGTTACAGGGAGCCCTGGCCTGAGGGCCTTCAGTGCTCTTTGGAGGAGTCCCAAATGGTTAGATCTGAGCTACCGTTGTTGTCGTGGGAAAGCAGGCCCTGAGGAGGTGGGGTAGGGGCTGCCCACGGGCCACTGAGTCTCAATACACAGGGATGCCTCTTCCTTTTGCGTAGGCTGTTTGCACTTGTTTTGAAATGTTGGCAAAATCCCCTAGTCTCAAGGTACAGGGCTGTGAGTGACGGCAGTCCCTGTGCTATCAGCTTTGTGGTCAACAAAAAACAAATATTGGCAATAGCTAAACCTAGGGCTGTTTTTTCTCCCATCTGAAGCCAATGTGCCTGACTCCCAGTTGTACTCATGACAGCATGGGGCCAACTTCATTTCTCTTGACTCCATTACTCCATGGGTAAGGGGCTACTTCTGAGTCAGAGGAACTTCGGTTGAAGTCCCCATTCAGACTCAAGGTTACTCTGATTGTAAACTATAAGTAAGCAGCTTAGAGCCCAGTTTTACTTATTTACACAACAGGATGACGATGATGATGATGCTTATTATTCTTGATTCAAGAGATAGAAAAATATAGCACAATCACACAATGGAAGTCTACATAAAAGAACAAGTGATATCACACAACAACATGGATGAATCCTACAAGCAAAGCTGAGTGAAATAAAGCAACTGAAAAAGAGCACTTACGAAGTTCATAACTAGTTAAAACTGACCTGTAATGCAGGTTTGATGACCAGATGGAATATATATGAAAAATTGATTGAGCAATGCCCTGAAGACTTGGGGACTTTAAGCTATTCCCCCCAAAAAACAATGAACCCACCTAAAACTCTTGAGTTGATATAAATGTTAAATAACATGCCCGAGAAAAGAAAAAAAGAAAGTTCAGTATCTGGTTCCTGATAGAGACCTCATGAATTTTGGCTATAGTAATAGCAAACCAGATGATGTTAGTACACTTATCTTTGCCTTTGTATTTTAGTTTAGTTTGTTTTTTAGGACAGGGCCTTGCTCTGTGGTTTAGTCTTACCTGGAACTTGCTATGTAGCCTAAGCTAACCTGAAACTCTTGATTCTACTGCCTCTGTCTCTTGAGTACATTCCAGGTGAGTACCCTCATACCCCGTGATTTGGCTGGGTAGTGGAATCTGAATCCCTGTACAGCTTGCATTAGGCTGTCCTGACCCCTCAGC